ACATATTTTACTTTTTGCCTATGTACATTTCTATATGTTTAAATATTTCAAGGGGATGAATGTCAATTGGGGCTCGCCCTGCTTCCATCTCCAGTCCCTTAGCATATTGTAAGATGTACTAGTAAGTGTATCATGGGACAAATCACAATAAAATAAAATAAATTCAAAAAACTGTAAACGGGGCTCTAACGAGGCTTACACTACATCAGCGACGCGACATACCTGCATCCATTGTTTTTTGTTTGTGTGTCGAGAATACCATCCATAGCCAGCATTGAACAATCTACCGGACCATGATTGATAGGATCCTCCAATGCTCGATGAAGCAGTGATGAGCTCATTGGGTATCTGTCGTGATGTCATTCCCATTGGTAGGTTACATCGTGCTATTAAAAAATTGGAAATGAGATATTTTTTTTTCTCCTGAATGAATAATGTACTACTAAATGGTGCATTTTTGCCCACAGCAATCTTTCACTAATTGGAACCCCCCGCCTTACGGGGGGAATTTCGTGCCTGACCTTGTGCATTAACTAGTCATTGGAAAGAGCGACTTTTCACGATTATGGCAAACTAAAAAAAACACTTTCGCGTTGAAACTGTAACAGTAAACCCCCCAAAAACCAGGTCACGTGGTCTTTTCTGCCGTTTGCAGTTTGCCGTAAACGTCATGCTTAACCTCTCTAATATATACGCTGCATACCTCTTGCGATACATCCGTAGAACTCAGCCCTTAACGCAATACGTCCGTGCCACGAACGTGGGTAAATACGTATGAAACGGGCAACAAATGGAAGCCTGAATAAAATGATTTTAATACTGGCACGATCGTTGTTYGCCTGGAAATTCTTGATACCAGATGTTAAGCCATAGAACGAATACAGTTCATTGTCGAGACTGTATTTCAAGTAGAAGTAGCGAATCCACCAATTTGCATCCTCGTTTCCTTGAGTAGCCATACCAGTGAACTTCATGAACCGTCCAAAGTCAAACTGMAAAGAAATCAAACATTCTAATACTTGTGTGTGCGTCAAAAATCTAATTTTGGTTTGCTCTAACACTTGAATTTTAAACAGTTATTGCGTGAACCGAGCCTGAGTACTCCAGTTTTGAATTCTTTTTTGTGAAAGCTAAGCCTAAATCAAGCATAAATTGTTATTGTCTTCTTTTGTACACAGAGTGTTTGTATTACAATAGATTCTCTGCTGAATAAAAGAATATGTTACATGCTTTCGAGGTTAAGGCTGCACAAATAAGATCTCGAAACTGGAGTATTCAGGTCGTCAAAAAAAAAAAAAGTCGTCAAGCATATTCTCATTGCAGTCTAATCTCCTCAATTTTTGTGTAAAAGACGTTATTTATTTGTTATCGAGTTCACACACCTGAATGTATTCTTTGTGTGAGTTGTGTCGAGACACCCATGAGCTGGAGTAGCGTTTGGTTTTCTTACGACGAAGACGTGCAAGGAACGGCGCATGCGCAGCATTAAGTGATGACGTAGCAGTAATAGCACGGTTGGACAGACGGCCGTTGGATAATCCAAGTGGACTTCCACACAATGGACCTAGGAATCAAATAATAACATGGTCATTTTCTCGAAATGATTATAGCTTATTATTTATTGGAGGGATTGGAGAAAATAGGAATAAAAGCTATTATAGATTATCAACCCTAAACATTCAATTCTTGGTGGGCATCTAAACTGAAACCCCGTTTAACGACCATCGGCTTTATACGGCCACCGCGTTTATAGGTCCCACTGAACTAAACCCTCATACTACTGTACTCGATTAATACGGTGACCCCACTATTACGACCACTGTTCGGTGTCATTTCGGTGGCTGGATTCACTATATTGGCTACAATAATTAATATCCAAGGTAACTTTCAGTCGTAGTTCTCTCCGATAGCTGTATACATTAAATAAATCCAAATCGCAGGCCTACCTGGTACACATCCGTAGACTTCGACTCTCATTGCAATGTAAGACCTCCATGTTAATGGTCGGAATCGGATACAGCGGGCCTTCAAAGCCTTGAAGAAGCGATAGGCCACTGGGGTGTACATGTCGAAGTTACCTCGGAATACCTAAAAACACAAGAATAAGTTATTAAATAGAATCAGTCTCATTGAATTTAGAGTTGATTAGCGATACTCAATGTGACGTCAGCCTTTGTTATTCATGTGCCAATCAGAAGACGATTGGCTTTTAGAACAAAGCGACTTGTGAAAAGCCATTCTTATCATGGTTGGCACATTAATATTAGAATGAGTTTGTTGATAAACATTGAGTATCTCTATAGAGAGTTTAATCCCCCTTTTAAGACAAAATTAAAATAGAATTTACATTCATGGAAAGACAGATGAAAGCAACTCAAATGCGCTGTGCTTTAGCAGTTTTGGGACTTTAATTTCATATAAAARTGCTTTTTTAAACTCTWTTTTTTTAACTTTTCRTGMCAACAAATTTAAGCTATCATATGATAACATTACTTGACGATTTWAATCAAAAACATCAAGAACAACAACAACAAAAATTCATAGACCAACATCTTGGAATATAGTCATACCCTTGTTCGTCCATGCTCTCTGTAMGTGGCAAATCTTCTACAGTCRCGACTGTATTGAATATAGTATGTTTTCACCCATTGATTTGAACCATGGCGACCCTGTGTGGCAATGCCGGTCAACGTGGAGATGGCCCCGAAATCAATCTGCAGCCATTGTTTGTTGTTGCGATGCTTAGCAACCCAGGCGCCCACACCTCTACCGTTGTTAGGCTGGTCAAGACGGGCCCGTTCAGGACCGTGCTGGAAGTTAATCCAGGAAGATGCTGTAAAAGCACCGTCTGGAATGCGCTGGTCAGCAATACCGACAGGCAACAGACATTTGTTGATGTAACAACCGTACATTTCGAGTCTCATACTGATATGSGATCTCCAGCCTCTTGGGATGATACGGACGGAGTAAGCCCTGATTGACGGCGATAGGTTATTGAACTTAACRGTGTTTCTATCGGTGTTGGCCTTGAAATTCTACATAAAAAACGAAATGATTTTTATCAAAAATGAGAAAGTGATGATGACAAAAAGAGAAATGATGAAAGGGACATTATGAATAAATGATGGAGTCGACGCTTGACACCTAATTATGAAAATGTAGGTCTTAATTCCGTTTAGTTCTGCTTCAAATATATCTACTTACATAATTGCCGGATCCCTTCTTGTAGTACACAAAGTTCACATTATTCACGCTGTAAGAAACCCAATAGTAGGTCACCCATTGATCAGCGTCCTGTCTTCCCTGTGTTGCGATCCTGATAATCTTGGTKGGACGACCGAAGTCAACCATAAGCCACTGATAGTGATTGTTGAATTTTGCGCACCATGCCCCGACATAGTGGCCGCGTCTCACTCTATTAAGTCTRGCCARGTATGGACCGTGGTATGCATTGTGGCTCGATGAAGCGGAGAATACACGGTTCTTAAGACGTCCAGTTTGGAATCCAAGGGCTCTGTTGCAAAGTTTACCTATGTATGGGATGAAATATGAGATGTTAGAAAATGTACATGACAAGAAGAATTAAGAGATCGTTTAGGTGAAGAAGCATACACCATAAAGACCCGTCTATCTAAATCTCACCAAGTCTGCATCCATACAGCTCGACYCGCATRCAAATGTGAGACCTCCAGCTTTTTGGATGAATTCGTACGACTCGTGCCTTGAATCGGCGKGCGAATCGATGGGTTACGACGTGATATCGATCATTGTTTCCTTGGAAGATCTGTCATGATAAAAAAAACAACCATAAGTTGTGAAAATCTAATAGCAACCACTAGTGGTGATATTGTTCCAACAAAAAAAAAAGAACAATAGAAACTTTTTGCAATAATAACTGCAAATTTCAGACGTTAAAAACCTCTTTAAAAAAATCGAGACAATCGCTCAAAAGTGTCTACACAAACTTCCAAATAAGCCAAGATTACCATATATGGCTGCTAAATGAATGACAATGTTTATGTTTGTGTTTGTGTATATGTTTATGTATGATTCACACTATACCTTGGCACGTCTATTTTCAGTATAGGAATGGAAACGACGGGTGTCGACGCTATATGATAACATGTAGCTTTTAACCCACTGGTAAGCATTAGGTCGACCTTGGGTGTCTATTCTAGAACATCTACTGATTGTTTTCAAGTCAACTTGTAACCATTGCTTATGGTTATTGTATTTGGAGAGCCAGTAGCTTGTGGATTGAAGGCGAGCAAGCCATGGTCCATAACTTATGGAGTACATAGACGAGGCTGTCATGGCGTCCTTGGAAACTCGTCCATCGGCCACACCGAGAGGCAAGTCACAAGCATCTAGATATAAACGTAAGTTTGTGATTTAGAACATATTCGTATTTTTAAAAAATARCAACAATCTACTGAAACAATCTACTGGGCTAATAAAAAATGTATTTTTAAAATATTTTAGGAGAAGTAACGGCACTTTTTAAAAAGTTTGAAGTCAAATATATTTTAGAAGTACAGGTATCACCTGTCTCTTTCGTGACGATGAATAACGAAAGGTTTTCAAAGAACACAATTCTCCAGAAATTAAAAGACGTAACAAGATAAAAAAGATCTGTTTATAAGTGCTACACTACCAAATACGGTGGCACCACCAAATATGGCACTAGAAATGAAATAACGCAATCACTAAAATGTAACGCATACCTGCCCTGCAACCGTAGAATTCAATTCTCATGGAGATCCACGAGCTGTATCCACGAGGATTGATCTTTATGTAACGACATCTAACTCGTGGATTSAGCGCTACCAACGCGTTGCTGAATCTATCTCTGTTTGATTGGAATGTCTACAGCAAAACAAAACATAATAAATGTCCCCTTCCTTATAAGCTACAATGTAAGTATAAAATTAACTCTGATCACTGATAGCAGAGACGCAATTTTGTGCAGCAAAGCATAATGCGTTAATCAAGGGTTTACTCCATACGTTTTTTAAGAGTTAATCGATTAGCGCTAGTCGAGCTTTGAACAACCCGTCCTTGGTGTAAACACCAAAGCACGTTGTCGTCGCCAGGACACAGTCCACGGTCTTGAGCCTTGAGTCTTGTCTCATGGCGAAACTTGATCGATGTAATAATATATTGATAGTGTTGCAATATATATAGGCAATATATTTTGACCGTAATAGTATATTGATAGTGTTGCAATATATATAGGCAATATATTTTGAATATATTAATAACGTATGGAAACCCCGAGATTCTTTGCAGGACTGTGGACTGTGGACTGTGTCTTGGTGACAACAATGATTTTTGAAAAAACATACCGTGACAGCATTGCGAAGTCTATATCTCTGCCAATGAATGTTGTCAATACTAGACAATATCTGGTAGTTCGTGACCCATTGATTGTGYTTAGGTCGTCCTTGAGTACCAATCTGGCTGACGACCATAAAACCACGGAAATCGACCCAAAACCATTGGTTACTGTTGCGAATCCTTGCGACCCARCAGCTGCGCATATTTCCAAGTCTGCCCTTGGTAGCTGGATGGCTCTTGTATTSGGACGAAGCCTTAATYTGCTTGTTTCGAATCCTATAGCATTGGAAATGAYTCTTKAAATTAGAATACATCTTTTTGTATTGAATATWTGCTGCACTTTGGCATTAAAAAAACCTTTAACTACATAAAGCACTGTATCTTGACCTTAATGTTTATGTTTGAATTGATAAAATACAACAGAACAACAACAACAACAAAAAAAACAATTGTAGCTTGTCATATAATTATTCATAAAAGCCAAGAATTTTTTACATTTCTACTGAATAGGACATTTTCTTGACACGGTACTTCTTTGCTTTCATGGAATATTATGTAATAAGCAGAATATTGAATTCATCTCGTGTGATAAAACCCGTATTTTATGGCAACCCCTTAACGCAACCCTCCTCAGTAATAATGGCCAGATTTTTTATAATGTCATACTTTTCTACACGTTTAAAACGGCCACCCTGTTTTAAGGCCACATTTCGATKCCGGATTAAAGGGGTTTCACTGTCCATAATTTCTTCGAGTTAAGATATACAYACCTGTTGGTCTGCATTCCCAAAGCACGATTACATAGACCGCTCACTGGACATCCAAATACTTCGACTCTCATGGCTATCCATCCATACCAAAGATATGGTCTGAAGCGCACATATTGAGCAGCAAAAGGYTTAATAATCGTTTGGAATACAACGCTATGTCGGTCGCTATTGCCATTAAACAGTTTGTTTGCACCATTCTCACGGTAAGTCGTAAAYCGCTGGCCATTAAGACTGTATTGTAGCATGTACTTCTTCACCCAGTGGTTCGAGTTGTGTCGTCCTTGAGTTGCGACTCCCGTTATACGAGTTGTGGTTATAAGATACACCTGCAGCCATTGGTTGCGGTTGTTYGTGCGTGGATTCCATGAATAGTAACCATGGAGACGGCTGTACTTAGGAGTCAAGTATGAGTATGAYGATGATGACGTCAGCGCWCCCTCGCGRATACGCCCATCTTCAACACCGAGAGGCATGTTRCAGGCGCGYTCTGGACAACCATAGACTTCGACACGCATGGAAATGTGTGATCGCCARCCACGTGGTTGGAATTGAACGCAGCGTCCTTTGATTGGTGGGAAAAGACGGTACATGACAATGCTGTTTCTGTTACGGTTTGCCTGGAATGTTCTAATTCCAGCGTTTTGTTTGTAGTATGCAAAGTTGACGCAGTCGACGGAGTACTTCAGATAGTAGCTTGTAACCCATTGGTCAGCGTCCGAKCGTCCCTGGGTTGCAATCTTAGTGACTCGCCTGCAAGGAATTATAGGTATTTTATTTACACGAACTATCATCGACCCCATAMTTTAGGACACTATCAGCGTTTTGACCCTTTAACMACTGCAGTATCGACGCATGACTATAACACCTTCCCAGATAGTCAACCATGACGTCAAGTTACATTTACCACGTCATAATAAGTTCGCTAAACTAACAAGAACTCACCTAAATCCTCCTAAATCAACTCTTAACCATTGATAATAGTTATTTATTTTAGCAGACCAAGCGCCCATAAGGTGTCCCTTCCTTTGTAAGTTAAGTCGAGCCAGTTGTGGACCGTGGTTGTAGTTATGCATTGACGATGCCATAATAGCCGAGGCCCTTATTTTACCATTGCTCATTCCGAGTGGTCGGTTACAGCGAGGTCCTAAAAACGAAAAACAAATTCACGGCTTCACTGACAGGTCTCCATAGCAACTGTATACATTCTGGAATAATTATGGGATGCCCAGRACACATATATTAATATAGTGTTAGAGAAAAAGAACTTAATTCTCTGATAATTTCCATGCTTCAAAATTTAAATTATTTCTTCATAACGTCCAAATGTGTTATGTGTTATGCTTGTTTGTTTTCCTTTACGTTTTAAGATATGATATTCAATCTCATTGCATTCTAAAATAGAGGATATTACATGGGTGCGCGGGAATTTTCAACGCGAGAAGATAAAATTCGTATCTCCAAGCGACCATGTAACATTCTGTTTATCATATAATTACATATAAAAGAAAATTATGTCGTAAAATACATTTTTTCTTAAACCTCGAATGTGTTATTTTCACTAGTGAAAATATCAATTTTACGAAATGGAGAAATATAGGTATTTCATAGATAATTATATGAYAAAGCCCAATAGCCTATAAATGACTTTTTAGTGCCCCATGGGCATCCCATAGTTTTTTTTTACTGAATCGATATTTAAAATAACAGAATCCAAGATGGCGGCCTAATYTCACAACTTTTCAATGATCTGATGGAGTTGTGCGAATTCTGAATAGAGTTTGAACTTACCAACAACGCAGCCGTAAAGCTCAACTCGCATAGAAGGCCATGTGTACCAGGTTAGAGGGTGGAAGCGAATATGTCTACCGAAGAATGATCGTTGGAAACGATATTTGACTCGAATGAACTGCTCGTAGTTGCCCGTAAAGACCTGCAAAGTTTGAAAATATATTAAATACAACTGGYTTTATCTTTGTATAGCTTTACTTTTTCAAGGAAATTTCAATTGTTTTACAATTGGTTCTTATACTATTAAAGAGTTAACCTCTGTTGATCGGTCACCTGTTTCTGTCCCGGACAGACTGGCCGCTTAATAGAGATTCAGCTTACGCAGAAACGACAATCGTGTCTGCTTAAGGCTGATGACACTGACAGCTAACATGTTAGAGCGGATTTCGTATGAGTGGGACACCGTTACCACACAGTTACCGGACCTGGCCTGTACAATTTTGGTGAACCAATGGGGCACTAGAATTTGGTTACWGTACGATTACGGTCACAGTACAGTACCGTCCGTTTCTTACTCATACGAAATCCGCTCTAGTTCTTCTAATGTTCACAACATGTAAGTCTGCTTTAGACGTCTCAATAKGCAATGCTGCAAATCTCCCCAACACTTGTAAATTAAGAACWGTTAGCCAAATCAAACTAACGACGTACCCTAGTTCGCTTTCCTTCCTTGTAAGCAACATAACGGATTCCCTTTCTACTATATGACAAATAGTAAGATTTCACCCACTCGGCAGCGTTTCTACGACCCTGTGTTGCAACTGCCGTAAATTTGGTCACTGCGCCAAAGTCTACATTAAGCCACTCTCCTTGCTTTCGCTGTTTAGCACACCAAGCATATGTGTGTCCAAGACGTCCTTGCCATGGGGCACAAGCAGCATAACGGAACGAGGAGGCAGTCATTCGTGGGTTGGGCACCTCCTTGTTTTGTAGACCAAGAGGCATGTTACAGCCACCTTAAAACAAATCAAAAGACTCATAAGGAAAACTCATAAGTTTTTGCTTATATTAAGATGTATATTATTATTTTCAAGCATAAACAAAATCCAAAAAAAAAAAAAAATGCTGGTGGACCATGTTCTTTAAACAAACAAACAAAAAAAAAAGAAAAATGCTGGTGGACCATGTTCTTTAAACAAACAACAAAAATAAAATAACTTACTTGTAGGACATCCGTAGAGCTCTAGTCTCATTGCGATACGAGAGTACCATCCGGCTGGATGAACACGAACACATCTTGCATAAATGTACGGCAAGAACCAGTTCTCAATCACACTGTTCCTGTCTTTGTTTGCAGTGAAACGCTGTTAACAATAACAAAGTAATGAATATATCGTAGTGAAAGTGCCTATGACGCCTGACACAATAATTGCTGATTCTATATAAAGTAAATAATTGAATGGTGAAATATTCCTTCAGTGTTGCGTATTTGAGTTTTGAAGGTTTAATCTTACAATATGTTAATGAAAATGACGTCAAGGCAGGCTTCCTTAGATATACGAACTTTAAAAAAGTCGCTCAAAAATATTTCCATGAGCGCCATCTGGGAATATGATTATTCCCTACATTGCATACGATAAATTCAATGCCATGAAACCATTTTTAAGCGACTCCTTCAAAGTTCGTACATCTAATGAAGCCTTCTTTGACAAAGGCAAGTTGCTGAGAAAAATGCATTCTCATACCATATTCATCTTAGTTCGCCGACGGAAAATAAAAGGATAAAAGGCTCTTGTTTGAAACGATACCAGAAAACCAAGAATCTGGTAAGTTTTGAGCTTATCTAATCAAAGACCCAACCAAAGCCAAAAAACTGAGAAGTATCTGGGTACGAGAATAAGAAAACTGCAGAATTTTAAAAAGCAGTATTTCTCTCCATACCTTCTTGGCATTGCTCTTCCACCAAGTGTGGAAGCTATATCTGTTACAGTCAGGACTGTGGGACACATAGAAGTAGGTCACCCATTGGTTCTGATCATCACGACCTTGGGTAGCAATACCAGTGATTTTCCAGGCACGGCTCATGTCGGCTTTAATCCATTGATTGTGGTTGTTGTGTCTGAAACAATAGACAAGGCTTCAATACGCCTTTTTCCCGTTCAAAGTGAACAACCGCTGATTCAGTTGACAACAGTCTCTCATGTGCAGAGACCTTACCAAAAACAAAAGAAGGCACGAAAAAATGTTGTCATTACAATAGCGCTAAGCCTGTATTATGGCCCCAGAAGGTTCAACGTCTTGCTCAGGCTAAGCCTCAAATCGGAGAAGATTCAAATTTCTAGAGCTATTGTAATGTCAGCATTTTTTCGTGCTTTCTTTTGTTCTCTACGCAAGTGAGTCTGTTGTCTACTAAAACAGCGGTCGCTCGCATTGAACTGGAAAAGGCTTATTGATAAGCAATATAACAACGTTCAAAGCGCCAACTGCCAACAGGCAAATAAAACATCTATTGGATCAGTTAGAGGCTACCACAAATGTACTATAAAAACCTTTTCTGATCGGTATTAGTAAAGAAAGTGTAGTATATTTTAGCTCAAGGAGCACTTTAGATTTAGGAAACGTCAATACCAAAATCATCAACCAAAGTTCATTACGGTTGTATATGTCCTGCAAGCAAACATGATTTAATAGCCGACTTAAGATATTTTGGTTCAGTRACCATGCACAAACGAATTGCAGACGAGGCTCCGGGGAAATAAAAKAATAAATCAAGATTATCCATTGTTTTCCTGGAGCCTCGTGTGCGTTCTTTTGTACATAGTCATCGAACCAAAATATCTAAAGTTGACTGTTATTATCATTATTATTTTTTACTTTACCTTGAAACCCAAGCACCATACACACGTCCTCGTCTATGATTGAACAGTCTACCGTATCGAGGCAAGTATTGGTTGCTGAAGGTAGAAGAAGCAGTGATCTTGTTGTCCTTTAGACGTCTGTTCTGGAAACCAACAGGCTTTCGGCAGGCCAAACCTGTTGAGGTATAGATTTTCCAATATTTACTTATAATATAACTTCAGCCATATCTCTATCAAACAGCTTTCTGTTTAGCCATCGCCCTCTATTAATCGGACACTCATAAATTCTTCAAAGTTCGAATCTTATAGACGAGACATCAGTTATACGGTCAACATCTTTTTAAGCGGACACCTGGTCATTCTCCAAAGGTGGTGACCGCTTAATAGAGGTTCGACCGTATAGGGTTTTCACTGATTTACTATAGCGTACTGCCCTTTATTATGCTTTTATAATGAACGCTTCACTTTGGTTATTCATTGGTACATAACATTCTATTACATTGATTATCACTGGAAAAAATCGCGCGCCATAAAGGTTGTAAATTTGATGGAAATATGATGTAAGTATGCAAAATGATTTAAATTTGATGGAAATGATTTACATCAAATTTACAGTATTTTGGACACTTACATCATATATACATCAAATTTACAACATTTAAAGCGCGCGATTTTTTCCAGTGTATAGTCCTTTCTTTCAAGAAACAACATCTATACATAAAAACCTCGAAAGGTATCCTKTAGTTATACATACGTGTAGGGCAACCGTAGATTTCGATTCTCATTGAAACCCATGAATACCAAGTTAGTGGACAGACTCTTATGACTCTAGCACGGATAATTGGGATGAACTGATAGGATACTATWGTATTTCGATCGAAGTTTCCTCTGAATACCTACAAAAAACAATTGAACAATTTAGCCAKTGATTTAATGACAGATTTACGCGTTGGCAAAMGAGGTGACAGGAGACTTCAGTTTCAGATCAATARAAWGACAAATGAWTTTCCCGACATCATTGAATGACAAAAAGTGCAGCTCGACGTGATTATCAGGATTGCATCACGAAGACACAGAGGGCTTCTATAATCTTTTAAAAATTCACACTAATGGAAACAGGGTTCGTGCGACATTTTCACTACACAGCTCCAGAAAATCAATTACTTTTTAATTACAAGAACGCGATTTTCTAGGACTTTTTTTTAGGATCTTTCAAGATATTTTTTGATGTTTGCGAACGTTTCCAGTGGCAATTTTCAAAAATAGCCACAATTCAATTCAAAAGCTAAAACGCAATATGTCAATTTTATCAGATCGTACTAAGTGAAAGTATTTGTATATAAATATTCGTATTCATTAGGAGGAGCCGACGGGTTCCTGGGAGAAATATAACTGTTCTTATGTCCCATCTGTAAGTCACAACTGATTGCCAGCGAAAACATCAGGAAAAAAGAGCTCTCCAGGCAAGGAATACTTTCTAAGAAGTTTTGCCAGGAAAATAAAAATTTCCTAACTAAAAAAATATATATTAAGCAGTTTTTGACCATAAAAACGTTTGCCAGTAACACAATTATTTTGAAGAAGGAAGGGCGCCACATTTGCTCGTGAGATTGTCAACAATGCAGCTCAAACGTCCCTTTCGGAATCCCAGGAAAAAAATCGTACAAGAACAGTTCTTTAGAAGAACAGTCCTCGCCGGCTCCTCATTTATACTTACTCTCTTCTTTCCATATTGACGATAGTCTCTTAATCCAGCGCCAAATCCATACTTAACGGAGTAGCTTGTCACCCATTGGTTTGCTTCGTATCGACCTTGTGTAGCAATACCAGTCAAAATTGTTGTTCTCTGGAAGTCAGCCTGCCACCATTGTTTGGCGTCACGACGTTGGGCACACCATGCRCCGGTTCTTCCGTTGGTATTTCGCTGGTTCAAACGACCTCTGTCTGGKCCATGATTGTAGTTAGCGTACGAAGAAGCTCTCAGTTGTCCTTTGTATACACGACCGTCTTCTAATCCCATTGGAATCTTGCATTTGTCTTTGGGAAGAAAATTTTGTTAATAAAGAATATCATTTTCTCCCATGGTCCCCTGCTTTATGTTTTATACACCTATTTCAAAAAACGTCGTCGGGGAGAACAGCGATTGTCGAAGAGAGATTGCACGAGCGAAAGGGACTATGGTTACATTGTTTTGATGAACAAAATTTCACTTATTGGATTCACCTTACATAGAAATGGAGACTAAGTGGAGCCAATGTTTACCACAGACCATCTTACAGTACAAATCAGTTATTATTGCCTTTCAACTAGCAAAACCCATGGATGCTTTCAGTCGTGCAAACGCCGTTCGACAATTGACATTCGGTATTTTATCCGATAGAGTTTTTTGAAGGTATATACCAAGCTGTCTGAAAGAATTTTACTTACTTATGTAGCATCCATAGAACTCTACCCTCATTGAGATATGGCGATACCAATTATAAGGCTCAATGACTAAGTATCGACCTCTTATTGGRGGATCCACGTAGTTCACTTTAACTGTATTCTGATCTCGATTTGCGGCGAAATACTAAAAAACAAACAAATAAGAACCAATTTATAAAAGAAACAATTGAAATTATAAATAAATATATGCATTGCATGGAGGATTCTACTAACTTATGCTTTTAAACAAATTTAAACATTTTTTTTCGCTAAAGACGAACTTTTTAGTGGCCAGTATCAAGATAAAGTCACACAATGTTATTTTTAATTGTTGTTTTGCATCGATTCATAGTTTATCGTATGTTCTTTGTCGCACAATAAATAGAGTCATTGAGATAAAATAGAGTCTGTGAAATAGGAATTGTACTATTGAATACCCCCTATTAGCTCCCAATAGTTTAACGTCAGTTTCTGGAGAAAACAAAACAAATCCTCCATGTTCTGTCCCAAACATATCCTACAATGCATTGCGTATATGGTCCATAAGTAAAAGCTTCAGAGTTCTATTATCCACATGGGTTTTAAGAACAGGATGGGGCGTCTTAAAGAGCACCTTTTGACAATCTTCGATAAATGATAATAAAAATGTCCCATCTTAAGGAATATGGATACTAACCTTAAAGTTACTGTTCAACATCTGATGAGCGTAGGCAGAGTCGTCTTGACTGTACCTGACTTTGTATTGCGTAACCCATTGACGATCGTCGGAGCGTCCTTGCGTAAATATCCTACTGATTTTCGCTGGATGACCGAAGTCAACCTTCCACCACTGGAATCTGTTGTTGTATTTAGCAGACCATGCTCCCATGTTGGAGCCACGTCGTTGGAGGTTRAGWCGTGCCAACTGTGCTCGGTAATTGTTGCCCCAYTGAGATGAGGCAGAGATTCTTCCGTCTTTGATCTTACCTGATTGCATTCCCATGATACGTCGACAGACGTTGCCTGAATAACGTGGAGAAATAAGGCAACTTGAATTACGCAATATTTCAACACAGTGAACGCAATAAATAAATATTTACGCAATACACCTTTTTAGTTGCTCTTAGGCCTCGAGAGCGTGTTAAATATTCTTTTGAATTTGTGGGAATGTGAGCAATGCAAACATTGATATGAATAGTCTCATTTGTCAAATTCAAAAGAATACTTTACTTACAATCGAGGCCTACGTGCAACTGAAAAGGTGTATGTTAACGCAACGTCCATGTACTTAATATACAACGTCAACGTATTCTTCAAGCAATCTAGTGGGGATATACCCATGCCAGAAAGCAAGGCTTACTCCATTCACTTTAGGCATAAAGCCTAAGAGACGTTTACGCGGCGCTTACGCAATGTTTACGTTGCTTTACGCAAACTGTCTGTAGACATCAGTGACCGTTTCGTACTCACCAAGACGGCATCCAAACAACTCGACTCTCAGAGCAGGGTAAGTGCTGTACCATCGTTTTGGGTGAATGCGAATATACCGTGCTTTGATCGTTCGGAAGAGTCTACTATAAACAACCATGTTCCTGTCTTCCCAGCTACCACGGAAAACCTGGAAAAGAAATTAAGGTGTGATGAGTCACTGCCAGAACACCATGCTTCCTCACACAGAGAGGATTTTTAGACAGTGGGAGGGGAACTAATGCAATGACGAAAGAAGAAACGTAAGGGGGAGAAACAGATCAAAATATACGCGCAGGTAGCATCAAATCGTTCCTGGACTCGAGAAACTGGAAGTGAACAAAGGAAAATGAGATGATATAAAAGGGTTTTGACTATATTACATCTAATTGTCTCTCGTTTATTTTCGCGGACTTSCTGTCAAACATGAAAAGCTGCTTCGGTTTTAAAAAGGTGAGGAAAGCGGCCACGAAAAAAATGAGACATCCATTCCACATGGAAAACTAGAAAAAATTCATTACCCTGACTCTATTCTTTTTCTCCATATAAGGATAAAACCTTATGCCCTTGTGACTGTATGATAGGGTAAAAGATTCTGTCCAATAGTTGGTGTTGTATCGACCTTGAATGGCAATCCTCTTTACTCGCGAGCTAACGCCAAGGTCAATCTGCAGCCATTGCTTACGATCACGCAGTTTTGACGTCCAACCACCGTAACCGAGACGGTTGAGTCTTGCCATGGCAGGACTGTAGTACTTGTTAAGTGTAGAGGATGCAGTTAATTGTGAGTTGTAAACGCGGTCATCCTCAAGACCYAGAGGTCTGTCACAAGCATCTGCGGACAAAAAACATTAAATTGAATGATATGCACAACGATAATGATAAATAAGTTATCCAGSTCTACTACAAGATGAATAAAAAACTGGGAAAAAGTCGTGTAACGAAGCTCCGTAATTAGTTTCTTCTCTTTTCGTCTCTTTTTTCAAATTTTWATTGTCATTTCAATTTCACACTTTCAAAAATTTGATGTTTTATTCGTCACAATTACCTGCTTTGCAGCCATAGAACTCAACTCGCATTGAAATACGTCTGTACCAGCTCGTGGGATTGATTCGAATGAAACGGCAGATGATTGAAGGCTGCAGTGTGTTGATGACAACGGCGTGTTGATTGATGTTGGCCTTGAAGTTCTATTGAGAACAAATAAGAAATATTTGATGCATCGTATACAAATAGAAAACTAACTCGTCTAAAGCGGAGGCACGAAGCTGTGAATGAAGATTGCGCTTAAGAGAAAGGGGTTTCGAGGTACTGGACGTAGTGTAAACTGAGAGCCTGAGTTGTCTACTTACCTGGTGAATCATTGCTGAGTGTTAAAATACATATCATTACATTATGTGTATGACACTATTCCAAGCATAGTTAAATTACCTTGACCTGACTGTTATGGTAGTCATCGAACTTTGTCCAATGGTAGCCATCTTGACTGTAACCAACCTTGTAGTATTTTACCCATTCATTGGAATCCTGKCGACCCTGGGTTACAATGGCTGACACTAATGTGAAGCGACGGAAGTCGACCTGAACAAATGGATTAAAAAATAAGAAAATTCATTGATCGTTTAAATACACTAAATTGCAGAACGATGAAAGGTAGAAAAGAATGAGATAGGGATACATCAAAGAACAAGAAGAACGAGAAGAACAAGAAGAAGAAGAACGAGAAGAACGAGAAGAACGAGACGAACAAGAAGAACAAGAAGAACAAGAAGAACAAAAAGAATAAGAAGAACGAGAAGAACGAGAAGAACGAGAAGAACAAGAAGAGCAAGGAGAAAGATCTAGGAAAGTTCAAAAGTGATTAATTTATAATCGAATTTTGGTGTGTGCAATGCATTTTCATCAAAGTCATGCGAATCGATTTCTGTTTACTCGTACCTTCAGCCATTGATAAGCATTGTTTACGCGAGCAACCCAAGCTCCAACATTAACTCGTCCTCGTTTCTTCATATACAAACGTCCAAACTTAGCAGCGTGCTGGTTGTTTAACCATGATGATGCCGTGATCTGCTTGTCATGGATGCGTCCTGATCGCATGCCAAGATCGCTGTGACATCGAGGATCTGCACAAGAAAACGTGACATAATGTAACGCAACGTTGTATTGTATGAAAATAGAGAATACCAACAATGATGTAATATTAATTAAAATGATATGCAGTACATGGAGATTGGGAAAATAATATTGAAAAAAAAAAATCAAATCTATATGAAGCACCTATAAAAGTTTCGAGATAAAACGCGTGGCTTGCCTCTCGTGCACAAATATATATAACAGGCGAGAAAAGCAAGAGGAACAATCGATGCGCTCATGTTCCTAAGCTTGCTTATCTTGCGTTCTTTATTTTCCATAGAGTTTACATCAGAGAACGGAGAAACGCGCGTTCGTTTAATATTTCTTCGTTATACGCATGCGCCATACACAAGCTACTCTTGCAAACTTACATAAGCATCCATAGACTTCGACTCTCATTGTTGGGTAACCGTACCATGTTCGTGGATGGAATCGCAGAGCGAGGCAAGTGATCAACCGACGGAATTGATGGTAAACAATGGTATGCATGTCTGAATTAGCAGCAAATATCTGAAATTGACCAATCAGAAAGGAGCTTTAGATATGTAAAATAGAACTGACCAATCAAAAAATGAAGTTAAAATGCCACATCAAACTGAACAATTAGAGAGGACATTGAGAGATGTCATTGCAAACTGACCAATCAGAAAGTAGGTTGGAATATGTCATCAAAAAATAACCCGTCATGCAGCCAACACCTTGATTGGCACATAGGTGCCAGCAATATGGAGGTGAGTCTATTGTTCTACTTTTCGAGGCTACTTAATCTATTACAGTTTACTTAGGTTTTAGTTTTTTGTGACGTAAATGCCAAGTAAAGTCAATAACATATATAGAATAATAATGAATAGTAATAGTGCTTAGAAGGAGGTTATTCCGGGTGAAAACCCGACCTCGCTRCAGGATTCGAACCCACGACCCTCGGATTTGCACTACCAAAGCTCTACCAGCTGAGCTACAAGGTAACTTGAGCGTCGTGGGTTCGAATCCCAGCAAGGTCGGAAATTAATTTTCCGAATTTATTTCCAAGGGTCTTTTTCTCGGCATAACCTCCTTCATAGCACTATTCCTTTCCTTTATTTCTATATCATGTATCTCATAGTGCCATGCAGTCCTCATATTCAAATCAATAACATATTTTAATAATAATAATAATAATTTAATTCTTAAAACGCATTTTAAAATCTCAATGCTTTTACAATCTCAAAAATAACTATAATACATGTAAAAATGTAGAAAAATGATCCTTTTTCGTCAATTACCTTCAGACGTCGATTTTCATTGTAGAAAATATACCTCATACCATCACTGGTAGTACTAACAGTGTATGATCGTACATACTGGTTGGCGTTTCGTCGACCCTGAGTRGCAACACCGCGYACACGCGCGAATTTTACGAAGTTGATTTGAAGGTATGGCTTAGAAGCTGATCGTGGGTACCACGAGGTAGCATCRTTAAGCCTRCCTCTCCATGGGTCATAWGAACCRTAACGTGTTCGTGGTTTAGAGGTCATGTCACTRTCGATGATTCGACGGTCTTCCACACCAAGAGGCATATTACAACGATCTAATGACAGAAAAAAATAATATTAACCCCATGTTATGGGCGATGTCAGACACTCTCGAAATATTGCGAAAATAAGGTGATTATTGTAATTAATAACAATCTAGGAATGATTTGATTTTTCTACATTTTTGTTTGTAATTTTATTACAAAGTGTATCTACTTCTAATCCTCTTCTCTTTCTCAAAGCCAGCAAAGAAAACGATGTGCAAAAAGATAAATTTTAACATTGTAAAAAGTGGGTGAAAACGTACTGACGTTTTCGTAGGATTAATGTCCGAAACGTCAGTAAGTTGTTTCACCTATTGCTTTACGGTGTTAAAATGTATTTTTTTGCACAACTGTTTCTTTAGAAACACCAATGCAGCTTACACTAGATTACCGACCATTTTAAAGAAAACGATGGATTGTTTACTCTATTTTAACTGCACAATTCAAATTATCTAAAACGTACTTTCTGCGCATCCGTAGAACTCGACTCTCAAGCAGATGTGGCTTCTCCAGCCATATGGATGAATACGRATGTAGTGAGTTTTGATGTGAGGGAACAGACGGTACTGTTTAACTGTGTTGCGATCTCTATTYGCAGTAAAATACTACAAAGAAAACAARAATATATYAATTTATAKCAARGAGTCATATCYGTCACKCACAGACTCACTCACTCGTTCRCTCACTTTYCTGTWAARTGKCTTTTTTAACATAATAYTGTTTAATAAGATGTTTAGAAAAACATAATATAAGAAAAGATAACGAAAGAAACGTCGCAGTTACAACGTAAAAACCCTGTGTTTTCTTTCGTTATTTTTTCTAATATTGTCTAATTTTGTCAAAATATACCTTTTGCTGAATTCACTCTGTAATCCGTAAAGACTCACTCACTCGTTCACTCACTTTCCTTTAAAATGTCTTTTGTTAACATTGTTTAATTTTGTTAAAATATACCTTTCGTGCTGAATTCACTTTGTAATCTGTGAAGACAGACTTGTCTTGACTGTACGATAGATAGTACTTGGTGACCCATTGGTGAGCATCTTGTCTTCCTTGCGTGGCTATCACAGTGATTCTTGTTGGTCGACCAAAGTCAGCCATGAGCCATTGGTAATAGTTATTATACTTAGCACACCATGCTCCCATTCTGTGACCGCGACGTGCAAAGTTAAGACGGCCATTGTGTGGTCCATGATTGACATCATAGTAGGAAGATGCCATGATACGACTTCGTGTGATTTTACCRTTTTGCATGCCAAGAGGCTGGTCGCACTTTTTGCCTGTGAAATATGAAGAATATAAGACTGCTCACCAAGCCAATCCCGGCTCTAGATGCATGATTATTTAGCATTTAAATCGAACCATAACTAGCTATATATCTTAATCATTACGTAAAATAAAATTGCACTTAAAGACTCGGATGATTCATTGTTTTATTGCTACAAGCTGTTTCGTATGGTCATCAGAGATGACCACACTCGTCAGGCAAGTTACAATGAATGAATGACCGTTGACATGTTCGATAATTTTAAGTAATCATTACGTATATACAAATTGTGTTTTGAGGTCTTTACGTAAACGTAAAGACTTTACGTAAACTCGCAAACCTTACGTAAAGTCGTAAACTTAAAGACTTCACTTACCTACAACACATCCGTAGAACTCTACTCTCATACACATGTACGAACGATAGGTGCGTGGCCAAATACGATAATACCTGGCTTTGATTGGACTACGGAAGTGATTKGTAACAATAACCTGTGAATCGAAGTTTCCTTGGAAGACCTAACAGACAAATAAATAATATGAGACAATGTTTTTTTCACTCAATTCCACAACAATAAAAATCTATAACATAGCAATGCACCAAGTTACATAATCTTTCTCATTGATTGTTGTTGTGTTTGTCGCTATGACTTGGATTAGTTTACCATGAGAAAAACAAAAAACTAAAAAACTCGCAAGTGCGTTTGAGTCAATACAGTCAACTCTCGCCTTACGGACACACCGCTACAACGGTATTGCGGACCGTAAAATACTGAACCCMGGCGAAAAATACAAAGAAATGGCAGAAAGTAACTCTCGTTACTACGGACCCTCGCTACTGCGAGGGTGTCCGTAACAGCGAGAGTTGACTGTACCATCCCTACTAGTGTTCAAACCAACCACTTACCTTAGCCCGGCCACCTTCACGGTACCAAGTCCAAGAGTATCCCTTATTGCTAAACGAAACAGAGTACGTCTTTACGTAGTACTGCGTATTCGTATGGTATCCTTGCGTAGCRATACTYTTTACAACGGTTGTAGCACCGAAGTCAAACTGTAGGTATTGGCGATTGTTTCTGTATTTTGAACACCATGAGCCGCTGTTCTGGCGAAGTCGAGCTTTCCATGGTGCAAGGCTGGAGCTACTGTATGAAGAAGCCGAGATCTCTTGGTTGGCAACACGTCCATCTTCTGATCCCAGAGGACCATTGCATCCTGTGGTTTAATGTAGCAAAATATTCAGCAAGTTGTTTYGTARWAATGKWTAAATGGYTGTTTTAGGTRTAAATWCTTTACTTTAAATMTTTCGTACGAATTTAGCAAGTACTTACGGGTGTTGCAGCCATAAAGTTCCAATCTCAAGGAATTCAAGCTACGTCGTCCCATTGGTCTAATACGGATGTAGCGACCGATGATTGGTTGGTTGAAGGACTGGGTACGAATGCCTCTGTTGTCMCGGTTTCCTTGAATCATCTGAACAACAAACAACATGGATTAATGCGTCGAAAATATGAGAAAGTGAAATATTTGTTTCAAAAATAGTCTCTCCTGGACGTTTGACTTAAAGTATTAGTTATTCACCCTTCATTAGATATTGAATYATTTCCAGTGGCATTTGTTTTAACGGAAGTGACTATCCTTGGAGAGGGTATGGTTGGCCAGGAATTTATTGATACCCCCTTGGGGTAGTTAAAAGTCACGTGGATAMTTTTTGTTTAGTGGAGAAAGAGACATAAAAGAAACAAAATATCGCTTTTTTCTGCATTTTTTGAAAGGAATAATTATACAAAAGTATTTCTACCCTCGCGCGCATGAMTAAGTTTCCACAGGGTTCCCAATCTCACCTGTACGGTTCCCTGCCAGTGTCTCAACATAGCGAAGTGTACGTTATCACTACTGTAGTACACATAGTACTGRGAGACATAGTAATTCTTGTCCCATTGACCTTGTGTGTCGATACCAATAATGGTCTTAATTTGACCAAGATCGACRGTCAACCATTGGTTGTTACCATTGCGAGCGGCTACCCAGCTACCTAGGTAACCACGGTTGTGTCTGTGCARCCTGGCCAGGAATGGGTTTCCACGCTTACGGAATGATGAAGCGGAGAAGGCTCTGTTTTTAATGGTTCCCTTTTGGATTCCWACTGGAAGGTTACAGTAGTGTTCGCCTCCATATCGACAACCGTAAAGTTCCCATCGAAGACCAATTCCTCTGTACCAAGTAACAGGGCAAATACGGATATATCTCGCCTTGATAAATGGATTGAACTTGTGTGCAACGATATGATAGTTGTCATAGTTTCCTCTGAAAACCTGAAAAGAGAAAAATAAAATGAATTATTATTTTTAATTTGCAAGCAAGTTCACTTTCAAACAAAAAAAGAAAGTCTTTTATAATCAAATAAATAACCAATAAATAGACAACAAAGGAAGGCAAATAAATAAATTTGCTTTTATGAATTGAGAAATGTTTAATAACTCGACTATTCTTAAAATTCAAGTAAAGGCGTGAATACGCTCGCTATTAGGATAGAAAGCATCCACGACTTTCTATAAGCAGGTTCAGTGAAAACAATCAAAGGCATTGAACCGAGCCATCAAGGAACAGTAAGCACAGATCTCTTCTTTCATCCTCACTTCCCCTTGACGCCTCGGTTCAATGCTTTCTTCGTCGCCCATTAAACCTGGCAATATAGAGTGTCATAAATTGCGAACAGCCAATAAATCTATATAGAGATTCGAGGTCAAGCCCGMTTGAACTGTAAAATTGTGAATAAACTAAACTGAAAGTTCCACAAACCTTCTCTTGTCCATATGCCTTGTAACGTCTAAACGCTTTACCATTCGAGCTATATTTAATGGTATAGGAAGTAACCCAGTAATTATGACCACGAAGATCCTGAGTAGCAACACCAGTAACACGAGCCATTTTACCAATATCACATTGGAGCCATTGACGGTTGTTCATGTGCTTTGGCCTCCAACCATAATAGGCTCTACCATATTGGTAGTTCCTGAGTCGAGATTGTGATGGAACGAAATTTTTGGCATCTTGGAAGCTTGAKGCTCTGAAGTTCTCGGCTGGGATTCGTCTGTCTTCGATACCCAGAGGCATGTAGCACTTGTCTGCGAAAAACAGAAACAATGATCTTTAATAGAGAGGAAGACGCTGTAAAAAGCCTATTTATCCTTGAAACTCTGCAGAGGTTACATGCTACAAGTCGAAGTCTCTTTGGACTTAAAAACTAATACAGAAAATTTCGAGAATTAGGGAAGAGAAACACCCCAGCGAGCCAACATAAATAATAGCTACCTTATTATAACATCATCCAGGGGTACTTACTTGTTCGGCAACCAAAGAACTCGGCTCTCATTGAGATGCGAGATTGCCAACTGGTTGGCCTGACTCTGATTTTAACACAGCGAATCATTGGRCTGAAGACCCAAGTTCTGATTGAATTTCTATCAACGTTGGCTTGGTAGTTCTGAGCAGGAAAGAAAAAGCTATTGTTAAACTTTATTTCTCTTGCTTGGTTTTTAGATTGCTATTGTAAGAATATGGTAAACCGGCATTCAATGCGGTCGTGTTTTCAAATTTCCATATATGGACAATGAGGTGACTTTGAGAGTACATTCTCAATCCGTTTCCATCCGTCAGTTTTATCGTCGAATCCTACAATATCTCCATTCATAGAGTATAAAGGGATAGTAAAGAGTAACTTTGTACTTGTATTTTCAACCATAAACAAAAGCTTATAAASGCTACCAGAGCCTTGACTAAGGCCTTTCAAACGCACAGACGTGACTCAACAAGACGTCTTACTATACAGAGGGCCACGTGTTAGATAACTCTATGGGTTAACCGTGTCACCCTCCTTAAATAAAGTTTATTGTATTGTATTGTATTGTAGTCAACCAATATCAATTGGTTGTGAATTCGCCGTTATAACACACAAACTCTTTTCAAAAATCTTTATCTTTGCGGACTTATGTACAAACGTTTGGAAGAGGTGCTTCCCTTACCCTAATTCCTCCGCTGTTCCATCKCATTGGGTTGAATCGCACGCCATCCATACTGTGGTACAAGTAGAAGTARCGAACCCATTCATGAGCATCAGGTCGACCYTGAATCTTCATCATGCCAATCTTTGTTGGACCGCCAAAGTCATACTGAAAGAAGAGATAACGTTTGTTAATGTTTGGGACAATTTAATATATTTACATGGTATTTAGAAGACTTCCAAGTCAGTTTCTTTAGTTCTTTCTAACCAAGAGTACAAACTAAGCAGTCTTTTTCTTTTAAGCCTGATGATTCTATTTTAATTGTAGCTCTCTCGGAATTGGCAGCTTTGATTTGGAAGGGACACAAGTGAATTTATTATTTGTTGGCTGTGCTCTTAGTTTTAATGAACACTTTCTTCCCAAGTGTTTCATACGTTTTTATCTTTCTTTTTTTTTTTGTAATTCTTGCGATATATAATTATGAAAATAATGCCATAGTCTTCAGAATGATAAAACTTATTTCAGCAACAATTTAATATTTTAACTGTTGATATAATTACTATCATAACATTATATTTTTTTACCTCAATCCACTGTTCGTTGTTGTTGTAYAAGGCTGTCCAGGCCCCGGCTCGGCCACGGCTGGCTTTCTGGTGGAGTCTTGCGTAATATGGTTGRTAGGGAGCTCCACGTGTTGAGGACGCTGTGATGCGACGGTTGCGTAGAGTACGAACCAATGGTTTGTTGCATAGAGGAGCTAAAAGGTATATGACATTAATTTAGCATTTTATCATCATCATTATCATTATCATCATCATGATCATATCTCTTCGTGCCAGCAGTCGCATAAGGCCTTAACTAGCCCCACCCCCACCCCCCTTTTCCTCCGGTCCTCCAGGTTGGGAGTTGAGATTAGGGTTAAGAGCCCTACCCCCTACCCCGTAAAAAATCATTGTTACTGAAACTTACACCCAAACAATTGACATTTCAAATAGCAAAAGTGGGGCAGTTGTCGAGTCAAATACTCGATTCTGTTTTCAGCAATCAAGAAACGAATCCCAAGAAAATAGAAAGCCGAGTCATACTCAAGTAATGCAGTTACCGAGCTAGAGCGTATTTCCACGAACAACTACAAAGCGTCAAGTGTTAAAAGCTCGAAAAAAGGCAAGCAAACAAAAGAATGTATGGTGTTTCAAAACAGCTTCCCCGAAAACCATACATTCTCTTATATTTTTATAACTTTTTGGGTGTTCAACGAAATGAGCTCAAACTCTGAAATTACAATGATTGTAGGATGTTCTTTTATATCGATAAGTAGAATATTTACTGGTTTCAAGACCCATCTTAAATGTCTTTTTTTAACTTAAGAGTACAACTGAAACTAAAACTTCAACTTACACAGTCGGCAACCATAGAGCTCAACACGTAAGACAATATAACCGTACCAGGTCACTGGATGGAAACGTACGTAACGAGCTTTGGGAGGACGGTACAGGGTCCTGGTAGCGACCATGTARCGGTCATAATTACCAACAAATACCTAGAATGGAACGGTTAAACAGAAGTAAATGATTTATTCATTACAAGCGCGCTTGCCGGATTGTTTTAGTATCCAACAAACCATAAAACCTTAATTTGTGGTTCGTTTGGTACAATGCCTTACCCTCACGTTCCTTCCTTCCCTGTATGGGTAAAATTTGTGTCCATTGTAACCGTAAGACAAAGTGTATGTCTTGACATACTGATTTGCGTCAWAGCGGCCCTGGGTAGCGACTCTCTTGATGCGAGCTACAGATCCACAGTCAACYTGYAACCAYTGCTTGCGRTCGCTTCGTTTGGGAAGCCATCCACTGTAGTARCGACCATGGTTGCTGGAAATGATAGATATAAAMGTTATGTCRAGTTATCTTGTTAAGAAAAGCAWGAAAAAAWMKTSGGAWTTCTTGGACGTCGCGAGAARAAAACTACAAGAAATCCGGATCAATTTGACTTCCAAAAACACCGTTTAACCTTTTTAGAAATAGCTCTGTGATTGGTCAAATCAAACTACAATAGTCTGAAAACCTTCACACGAGTAAAGGATAATAATCTGTTCTAGGTATTACTTAACAGTCATAACATGCAAGGGACTTACAAAGCATGAAGTCTTGCACTCCATGGTCCACGGTACGATCCGTAAATTGTCGAAGCTGTAAACATCTCGTGGCGAATACGGCCATCTTGGACACCAAGAGGAGCATCGCAAACATCTGCAATGAAAGAAATAGATGTTGGAGTAGCCTCTTAAAGTGGTACATGGTAAATTAGATAGAAGAAAAACACAAAAGTATCTCTCTCATAACACGGAAGGAGAATCTGCTGAAATGATGTCGTTTYGACAGCTCAGACACTAGAAGTAAATAGTCGACTCCAAAGCAACTATCTTCTGTAAAAAAATTCTTATGAGAAAAGTGGTAAATTTGCTATAAATTGAAGATGAAGTGACTTCAAAAATATGTGTAACTCAGTTCTTGAAAGTTCACACCGTCATCGATGCGGCAAATAACATAGCATTCATCCTGTAGTTCCTCGTTCAAGACATATTTTTACCAGACAAAAAGCAATGACAACTTACCTGTTTTACAACCATAAAGTTCCATTCGCATGCAACTATAGCCGTTCCAGCTTCTGGGATTGACTCGGATATAACGAGCAATGATTGGTGGACTGAATTTRTTTGTTCTSGTGGCTTGGTTGTTATAGTTGGCTGGGAATGTCTTCAAAGAAAACAAAATTGAAATGAGTTGAATTGAATGTGTKAGGTCGAGTTGTCTGGAAGTTTTGATAAAAACGACCATAAAGTCCTCGTATTGTTTGTGTCCGTTAAGATTTCCCTATAAGCCATTTTTCGATTGCAGAAGCGGAAGAACTCCTTTAATTTTGAAAATTTTGAAAAATCAAACTTGAGCAGACTTGGAAAAGAACGAGGTTAGACTCCACCTCCCGCCATATTTTGTAACAGAAAATGGCTTTACTTSGAGTTKCATTTCACTCTTAAAGATCCACGCGAAAATATTAGCCCTATTTTCTCKCATACGAAAAACATAATCATCATCTTTGATTTTGAACCAATCACAAAGCARCTATCAACATTTTGAAATCATTTCTAGGACAAACGATGCMCGTGGACCTTTAAAGAGAGCTCTCATCATACCTTATATCCATTTCTATGGCTGTACGTGGCCCAGTGATATCCATCCTGGCTATATTGGACATAGAATGACCTGACGAACCAGTTCACATCCTGTCGACCTTGAGTTGCAATCATTTTAATCTTGAAGACACGAGCAAGATCGACCTGGTAGTACTGTCTGTTATTTCKGTCACGTCTATTAACGCACCACGAGCCTAGTTTAGAGCCGTGGCGTTGAATGTTAAGTCGRCCACGGTTYTTGCCGAGTGCTTGACTCCAGACRGACGATGCTGTGATTCTGTTGTTTCTAATGCGRCCATTTTCCATTCCCATCGCCCTGTTACATTGGACTAAAAAACAACGAATTTTAGTTCATTCAATCGCCTCAAATTGACTGCTTTTTAAGTGTGAATTAATAGAGGCATTGGAGAMCTTTCCCATTCCCACTCCTCTGTTASATAGTACAAATAACTCATACCTGTGCAGCCATAGTATTCCATRCGGATATCAGGCCAGCCGTGCCATGTGTATGGCCAAAGACGGATCTGTGATGCTTTGAATGGCCTGAAGAAATGTTGCACAACCTTGTATCTGTCATTATTTCCTGAGAAAATCTGTCAAAAAATAACAGCAATTAAATCTTTTAAAAAAACTTAAAAGTTTGTACTAGATCAAAAAACATAGAAGTCTTTGCAGTAGGATTTTCTTGTTTCTCTGTTTTTGTTCAGTTGTTGTTGTTTGTGTTTTTGAGTCTCCTTTGAAGTATGAAATAGTCTTCATAACAGGTTATACAAAAGTACAAATGTTCCATTTTTTATGACAACGCTTTTTCAATAAGGTGTATAATGTTTGATAACAAAATACCTTGACATTTTTTCCGACTCTGAACCATCTCCACGAAATACCATCGTGGCTGTAGCTCAGTCTATAAGAAGTCACCCAGTAGTTGTAACGGCGAGATCCCTGTGTAGCAACTCCTTTTATGGTATTAACGTTACCCAARTCAACTTGGTGCCACTGGTGACGGTTCCTGTGTCGTGGTCGCCAGCTGTAGTCGAAGTTAAYACGACCATAACGAGGTGAAAGATGAGCRTTGTAGTACGAAGATGCTGAAAACTGACCCTCGGTAATGCGACCGTCYTCAAGACCGACTGGCATAGCGCAACGATCTGTRACCAAATWATTTTCTTAATTAMTTTARMACCTCTTTAGAMCGMCCACTTGKGGTCGGATTTGACTCTCAACTCTCGYCTTACKGACAAAGAAATTATTAAACTAAGAYCTTAATTAAAGSCRRGAGCTCCTTAMTGCGRGCATCCACGCTCCCGGTGCCCGTTATAGCGAGGGTTGACTCTGTCAGCACAAAGCATCAWTGATTTACAMAGAGTGAAGRCTAGAGCCAGTTCCTTACTCGTTCACAAAATAACCAATAAGATACATTCATTTATCACGTGACCTACCTTCATGACAGCCGAAAAGTTCCATTCTCAGGGAAATGTGCCTGTACCATGTGTAAGGAAGCAGGCGTACAACCCTACAGCGAATATGTGGGAAGAATCGATGTGAAACARCRTCATTTCTGTTTCTATTGGCCGTGAAGTACTGCAATARGAAATTCAACCGTGTAAATTAGATTYCTTTTCTCTTTGCGTTGATATCTTAGAGCGGATTTCGTATGAGTGGGACACCGTTACCGTACGGTTACCGCACAGTTACCGCAACTGGCCTGCACAATTTTGGTGAACCAATGGGGCACTAGAATTTGGTTACAGTACGATTACGGTCACAGTACAGTACCGTCCGTTTCCCACTCATACGAAATCCGCTCTAGCATTGTATCATACCTTAGGGTTATAACCTTCCTGGTAGAAAGCGAAGTTGGCACCATCACTACTGTACTGGAGCCTGTACCTTGTCACCCACTGGTCAGCGTCTGATCGTCCTTGGGTGGATATTTTACTAATKCGAGATGCACGTAGGAGGTCTACCTGGTACCATTGATTACGATCATTGTAYTTGGTACACCAAGCACCAACACGTGCTCCGGTGCGTTTGAAGTACAGTCGGCCATTGCCTGGTCCATGGTTTCTGTCATGACTGGACGAGGCAGAGAGCTGATAGTTCTTGATTTTTCCATTTTTGAATCCCATTGGTGCTTTGCAGCCTTTGCCTGGYGAATGAGGAAAAAAAGACAGAGCGAGTTAATCATTAATATTGCTGGCAGTTCTTTAAAATTATAAGTACATTAGACTTGGTCCAGGTATATCTCGCTGTCAAGTCAAGTCTAAAGGTGCAATTGGATGAAAATTGCGATTTTCTGCGAATTTCAAGGACTATTTTTTTAGATATTTTTTGATGTTTGCGAATGTTTGCAGTAGTGATTTTCAAAAATAGTCACATTTCAATCCAAACGGCCAAAAGCAGATTAAAGGAGTTTTCCAGGAATTTTAGAGATTTTTCCCAATTTCAAGGGCTTTTCAAGCGCCCTTGAAAACGAGTTTCCAATTCCAGGACCTTTCAAGGATTTCAAGGAGTAGCGCGAACCCTGTCGAATATAAAGAAAACTTTTGCACAACATACCCACAACGCATCCGTAGTACTCTACTCTAAGAGAAATCCACGATCTCCAGGTCAATGGATAAATACGGAAGTATCTACCAATGAGTGCCTTCTTGAACTTGTTGATAACTTCGGTGTAGCGGTTATAGTTTCCTTTGAAAACCTAGAAGGCATATGCTTTATCAATACATARAGTCACTACATGGGAGGACATACTTCAGAAGTGGGCCCTCTTKAATCCTATCGCGCGCGGAAATCATAATTATTTCAACTTTCATAGATTTTGACAAAAGATGATCAAGTCCTGTTAGGAGGATCCCGACGAACCAATTTTTCCCAGGGAGGGGCTGCTACAAAAATAATCACAAAGAAGACACAGAAGGGTTGCATACTCCCTGATCATACTTTATGGCATGAAAAGTTAACACACCATATTGTAAAGATGTAAATAACATCACAGCTACAATCGTTGCCCAAAAAAAACCTTGGACCGTAGAATAATTTGTCTCCAGCCTAACATTTTTCTACTTTTTTTTTGACATTTCTCCCCCTTAGCCCCCTTTCATCAATGTTGTGTCTTGTTTTGGATGCTAGTGTACTAGGGTAACATGCTCAATGATAGCATTGCATTCAGGGGGTCAGAACGCGGTGATGAAATTGTCTGCGGGTGTTGCTTAAAATGAGGAAATTCCCTGGAATGGTTCAAGGATTTTGTCAACGATTGCCAATGTTTACCTTTCGGCGATTATTCTCCTTGTAAGTGTAAAAAGTAGATCGATCTTTGCTGTACTTCACATAGAATGTCTTCACCCAGTAGTGAGTATTACTTCGTCCCTGTGTTCCAACACGATACACTCTAGCCATTGCGCTAAAATCAACCTCGTGCCACTGGCCGACGCGATTATATTTAGGAGTCCAGCCGTAATACAAATGGAGACGTGCACCCTTTGGTGCGTAGGTGGCGCTTTGGTATGACGAGGCAGACATTGATTGGTCGGCAACACGCTTGTCTTGGACTCCCATTGGTGCGTCACAACGACCTGAAATTACGTAAGAGAAAAATTATGACATTGGACGGGAGAATTTTCCCCGCAGAGGGAGGGGAGGAAYGGAATTGTCTACTTACTCCATGTGGTGCCGTAAAGTTCAAGTCTCAGTGCAACACGAGARTACCAGCTACTAGGATATAGTCTCATGAAACGGCAGATGATGGCAGGTTTAAAGAACAGTGACTGTACGCTCTTATAGTCGTAGTTGCTTGGGAAATTCTACAAACAAATCAATTATAAGTTTTACCATAGATGACTTGCGTTAAAGAGCTAGAAACATCAGAAAAGACTTGGAAATTAAATAGACMTATCCATATGGGTCTAATAATCATGAAGCAACAGATTTCAAGARCATATTGATATAAATCATTAATAATTTGGGCAAAAAAATGATGGAGTAAATGACGTCACTTACTCCATCCTTTTGTTCTTCCATCTTTTGAATCAAAATTTCTCTGATGTGGGATAATTCCAAAACAAATATTTTCCCACAATTGTTTTTAATGGATGTAAATGAGTCTTATATTCATATTGCTTGAAGTTTTTAAATAAGTGCATTTTCATGCAAGTTGCACTTTAAACTAATAGAAACTGTGTACACTACCGGACCAAAGAAATACAGATTGTTACCTTGTACGCATCAAGCCATTGTCTCTGTTCGGAGAAGTGCTCTCTGTCCTGACTATACTTGACGTAGTAATATCTCACAAAAGAGTTTCTGTTTTCTTGTCCTTGAGTGTAAATACCATCAATCTTCATTGTTCGCCTAAAGTCAATCTGCCACCATGATTTGGATGACACTCTGGGTGTCCAGGCTGGTTGGTACCCATGCTTGTAGGTCCTTAGAAGACGAGCAAGTTGTGGTCCGTAGTATTTGTTTATTTGACTTGAAGCTGTAAGCTGGCTGTTTTTGATGCGTCCMGATTGCATTCCGACGGCAACAGGATATCGTTCTATGAGATCAAAATTAAATAAAAATTAAAGCTTGGAAAGAAGTTTAAAATCATTCATGGTTGATTAAACAAACTGCGTATAAATACAAAATTAAATAGTTAATTCAAGATTTAGTTGCACAGCATTGCACTATGAACAAGAATGCGAATTAAAAATATGAAACAGAATAAATGCAAAAACGAGTGAAGAAATGGATGATTGATTCAATGAACATGCAGATAAGCGAATTATTGAATGATAAAAAAAATGACATGAGGAAAAAGAATGTAAWTCAGTAAATATGAGAAAGAATAAATGGACAAAAGGCGTTAACAAATGGATGATTGGATACATGAACAAATAAATGAATTATTGAAAAGATGGAAAAGAATCGATTAATGAATAAATGAAAAAAATCTTTCAAATGCTTTCACATCTGGGGCAAATACACCTTTTCAGTTGCTCTTAGGCCTCGACAGCGTGTTAAATATTCTTTTGAATTTGTAGGAATGTGAGCAATGCAAACATTGACATGAATAGTCTCATTTGTCAAATTCAAAAGAATAATTAACTTCCTATCGAGGCCTAAGTGCAACTGGAAAGTTGTATTGTAAGAAAACGTGGATTAAATTATCCAGTCCATAGATTTTGAGTTGATTTTATTCACTGGATATTGATTGATCTGGCGAATAATACTATCTACCCTTCATACAACCGTCCCCTGGACATACACAAGACATTTTAACAAATTCTTACCGCCTTTCCTTTGACCGTACAGCTCGACTCGCATACCGATGTAGGTTTGCCAGGTTCGTGGGTATATGCGAATATATCGTGCATGGATGTTGGGGTCAATTCGTCTTAAAACTGTGTTATATCGGTCCCAGTTTCCACGGAATACCTGAAGAAGATTGCGTAATGTTAAACGAATGACAATAGAATGCTTCTCTGAAATACTCCAGTTTCGAATTCTCCAATGCTCTGTGTTAGCCTCATTTGTGCGCAAAACATTCCTTATTGTGAGCGTAGAAGTGTGAGATTTCAAATCAAATTTATTGTCTTTCTTCACAAAATTCCATGCGTTTTCTCGAGCTATCAATGGAACAAAAGATATGTTACTTGGTTTTGAGGCTAACACAGAGCAAACCAGAACTCGAAATTGGAGTATTGCAGTTTTGCAAAATCACACCCACTCTATCTAGTAAACCTTCTTACCCTTGCACGGCCAAACATGATGTAATATTTAAAGCCAGTTGTTTTATAACTGTACTTYATCAAGTAAGACCTGACCCAATAATTGGAAGCCATTCGTCCTTGAGTAGCAATGCCAGTAACGACAGCTGGTGCTCCGATGTCGATCTGTAGGAAYTGGTGATGGTTTCTGTGGGGTGTGTACCAWCCACCTGTGAAACCGCTACGTGCGTAGTCGTTTAGACGAGCGCGATCACCATTAGAGTTGTAATAGCTGTCGTGGTTACCAGAGCTCAGGGCACCCGATGGAATACGGTAGTCCTCCATACCGAGAGGCAAGTATTTGGATGCTGAAAAGATAATTCCATTTAAGTTACGTTAAATGCGTTGAATAACACTTAAAAAGAACATCATTTGATGGCTTAAGTCACAGCTATTTCGAGTGCAATAAAACAATACAATAAACATAGCACAGTTTCTTAACATAGCACAGTTTCTTTATAGAAACATATTTCAATATTTAAAAAAATTTAAACCTGAATGAGTGAATGATATGTTTATAAAAGAAAACCCTTATTTTTAAGCATAAGCATAGCGATTAGCATAAGGATATCAACAAGGAACGCACACGTTCAATTATCTTGTGCTTATTCCTATACTTATGTCAATTGTAAAATCATGTTTCAACCTTATTCTTGTGCTTATTTCGAGTGAGAACAMGCTGYATTCTMSTRYTYATCGCTATGMTTATGCTGGTGAAAGTAAGCTTTTRACTTAATAAGTTAAYGAAATTTAACTTTAAATAGGTACGTTTACAAAACAGCGAGTGAGAATGTGAGTGAGTGATCTAAATAACTTAATTATCGTAATTCGTTTGTTTTCTATTGTCTAATCAACACTAATTTAGCGCTATTTTAGCACTACTTTTTTAGTTCTTTTTCTTGAGATAAACTCTAGACGAAACTACTGTAAATGCACTGTACAAGCTTACCAATGTAGCAACCATAAAACTCCACTCGCATTGCGATGTAACTGTACCATTGGTATGGAATGACACGAATGAATCGAGCTCTGATATGTGGGAAGAACTTGTTGGTCCTGACTGAGTTTTGATCTCGATTACCATAGAAGTACTGTAATTCAAATAT